GCATGGGACCGCTTAGTCAAAAGGTACGACCGCAAACCGCTCATAATTAGATCACTGGTGCAATCGTTTTTGGCTCTTCCCACCCTCTCTTCAACTAACACATCGGTACTTTGCCAAATAGTTGATGGAGCAGAGAGCCATCAGAGGTCTGGACGCGTTGAATGTCACATCCCGCGACCCATGGCTTACTCAACTCTTGCTTAATAAATTAGACGAAGAAACGCGGAAAAAGTTGGCAGACAAATGCGATAACCAGAGCGAAAAAGGGTTTAGCGAGTTTCTCGAGTTTCTTTCTCATCGCTGTGACACATTTGAGGCGTGTTTACCTCCCCGCTCAGCCCACACACGTCGTGTCGCTTTGTTGGCAAATGTTGATGACAGGAAGAACAAACAATGCGTCGTTTGCACGGACAATCACACGCTTTGGCAATGCGCTCAATTCAAACAGTTATCACCGTCGTCACGTCGGGCAGCTGTACAAAAACAAAAGTTATGTTTTAATTGCCTTGCCTCTACGCATTCCGTGCGCTCTTGTCAATCGAAGCATAGCTGTAAAAAATGTAGCTCACGCCACCATACACTTCTGCATGATGAACGGTCTGCCCTCACGCCCTCTTCTACTTCTTTTCCTTCATCAGCACAAAATAGTTGGGATCAAGATGAGCAAGTAGCTGCTGTCACTACGCAGCGTATGCACACGCCAACACTAAAGCAAGCAGCGGTCAGCACTTTAACCTCCGTTACTGCTGCTATGCCTCACACGTTTCTCACAACGGTGGTGGCCGCCGTCGATGACAAATGCGGAAATCGGGTAAGCTGTCGAATATTGCTGGACTCTGGATCAACCATATCATTTGTGTCAGAAGCCTTTGTACAACGTGTCGGTCTATCACGTACAAACGGTCGTATATCAGTTTCTGGTCTATCAGCCTGCAATGCCGGAGTAACGCGAGGTCGGGTGTACTTCACTTTAAGCTCCAAATTGAACGACTCGACACTAGATATACACGCTTATATTCTCAGCAAGTTAACATCGCAAATTCCTGTTCAGACCGTGAATATTTCTTCATCATCGTGGCGATCAATTGTGAAACTACCACTCGCTGACCCTACATTCGCTGAATCAGCACCAATTGATGTATTGATTGGCTCCGATCAGTTGTGGAGCATTTACACTGGCGAGCAAAAACAGTTCGGGCCTAACATGCCGATTTTGCTGAATAGCGCGTTTGGTTGGGTGATAGCTGGAACGCATTTTACCGAAAGCGAAGCTAACTTAACTGCTGCAACTCATCATGCTACCGTTAACATTGATGCGCTGTTTCGGTCATTTATGGAAGTCGAGGATGTCAAACCTACACCAGAAAAGATCAATATGGCAGATCCAGCAGAGGCCCATTTTGTTCGTACTCACACGCGTCGTACTGACGGTACCTACGTAGTCAAATATCCCTTCAAGGAAAAGGCACCGGCAATTTCATCAACTCTTTCGCAAGCTGTCACCAGATTATAATATATGGAACGCCGTTTCAAACGTGACTCATTTCTGAAGAGTCAATACATAAATTTTATGCGTGAGTATTTGTCGCTTGGCCATATGGCCCGTATTTCGCCGCAGGAAGTTGACTGCCATCCATCGGAGTGTTTTTATCTGGCTCATCACGCAGTTCTCAAACCAGACAGCTCAACCACGAAATGCCGAGTCGTATTTGATGGATCCTGCAAAGATTCTGGTGGCTACTCACTTAACGAGCGTTTGCATATTGGCCCACCCATTCAGCGTGATTTGTTTGGCGTGTGTATTCGTTTTCGTCAGCATCGTTACGTTTTCTCAGCTGACATAGAGAAAATGTTTCGCGGCATTATGGTATCAGATTCTGATACTAAATTCCAACGAATCGTTTGGCGGGAGGATGCGGGTTCACCAGTGGAGCATTACCGACTACTCACGGTAACCTACGGCCTTGCTGCGTCGCCTTTTCTTGCTGTACGTGTTCTCAAGCAACTGGCAGAAGACCATAAGGTAACCTACCCATTTGCAGCGCGTGTAATATTGAATGATACGTATGTCGATGACATAGCTATCGGATGTGATAACGTCGACGAGCTACTCCAGCTTAAAACTGAACTTATCGAGCTACTAAAA